GTTAGGAGGTCGTCTACTTCAACTAATCTGTGGTCCAACTTACCGTTCTGGAGTTCGATTAGTATAGTTCGCGGCGCGAAGCGCCGCTCACACCTTCAATCTACATGCGGAACAACCTGCTCCCAGCGGCCGCAGGAAGCAACTTCGAATACATTTTTTTCACTTTACACTTACTTCGAAAAATTTCCTTCTCTGCCAATCCTATTTCCCCACCCCACAAAACTCTGTAACAACCGTTTTTGCAGGACAAAATGCTGGGAATCGGGGTATATTAGTGGGGCTACATAAACTACTTTTGCCGGAAATAGCTCGGACGTTGCCTGTTTTGTTTATTATTTTGGTGAGTGACTCAGAAGTCGTTTGACATCGCAGAATATGCTTCCAAGTAATTTTATTAATGCATCATGTTCATTTATAGACGGAAATCGTCCCTTCTCGATATCAAGGCAATTTTCTATGCCGCTTTTTATCGTAGACTGCAATCACGCATTTGCGCGTGGCTTTGTTGCAAATAAGAACCAAGATGTACCTTATTCTGAAGTTTTAGCTAACTATAAACTACAAAAAGGCCATTTTTTGGGCATTCCGAAGTCTGCAAAGCCAAAAAAGTGTCAGTTGAACTTCAAGGAGATCAGCAGCATCAAGAAGCTTCACCGTCGACAGAAGGCATACTTTAAGTTAAGCGAAGAAATCTTCTCTCTGTGCCCAGAAGATGGTGCGCATACCATGTGCGATAGCACATCCCCATACAACCAGACAAAACCGATTTACCCTGGCGAACAAAACTTAACAAGAAACTTTCAACTACATTTCTAAAAAATATCCTGCACCTTTTTTGAAAGTAGGGGTTCTCAGATCTCTTCTCCTAATTCATTGTAGGAGTTCTTTTGACTGCTTCTCGTTCTGAGCTTAAAATTTGTTTTCTAAACCCTCGTAGATCTTGTTTTAAAGAGCGTCTTAGGCGAGATGTCAAGTCGCCAGTGGTCGTAGTAAACTTTGCGTATTATCTATGACACTATTTATAAATTCTGGTGTCCACTTGCCAAGATCATTACTGTGTACATTTTAATTATTTTACCACAGCGCAAAATTGGTATTGATAGTGCCCCATGGGCGTTTCAAATAAAAATACATTTATTCGTTCGTATAATTTTGAGGAACCTCGTTCAGCGACAAGCGGTTGATTGGCTGTAATAATGTCCTTTGTCCTCTTACTTTGAGAAAATTTACCTTAAGAATTATCAGAGATGGAGTTCTGGAAACAATTTATCTTATGCCGTTTAATATTTTCACTTATTTGTATGAATGTGCATTATTTACTGAAAATTAAGTTTATTCAGTCGACGCGAACTTTTGCATTTTTTCAATTCGTTTCTGACGATCTTAGTTAAAGTGTAATTTCTCAACCAGCGTTATGTTATTTCCCATACTTCAGTTTAGTTCTTCGATTTAACCGTAGTCTGCTTTGTGAGAGATTAGTTGTGATTTTGTGATAATACACTGAGTCCCGCCAACTACCGTCTGGTTATCTACATTGTTGGAACTGATGAGGATGGTTGCTCTTTTGATCAAGTGATGACGGAATTCTGAGAACTATTTTTTCAGTATTTCATTACGGATAGGGGCTCTGTTTCCAATCTGGTGTTCAAAAGTATGCTCCAGATGCTCCCTTAAGCTACTGGAGTATCTTACGCTTTTTTAGTTTATATTAAAATACAACGATACTTCACAATGGTCAGGCAACTCGCTGATCGAATTCTCTGTGAATTTGTTCCTCTCCTGCCCATTTATTTGATTGTAATGAAGTCGTTTCTTCATGTGCGGAGGCTTCTGACATGTATTCCGGCATATCAACGTTTTGTGTAGCTATTTCCAGCGCGTTAACTTACGTATACGGAGATTGAAATGCAGAAACTGATATAAGAACTGCCACCGTAATAGAATTGAATTTTACGCAAACCTTTTGATTCTTGTGTATTTTGTCAACTTATCCTCTCGTCTAAGTGAACGGAGCTCTTTTTTGTGAAACACTTCGGATGCCACTCTCGCAGCAAAGCGAGGTAACACTTACTACTACTACTACTACTACTGATATTACTACTACTAGTAGTATTAATACTAACGTTATTGTTTTGCTCTCCTATTCGGGTTGAACACTGCAGTCCCGAATGTGTCTACATATGTCATATTTTGTCAAATGAAAGCTGTCCTTTTAGGCAAAAGAACTGGGGAAATTGTTCTTCGTCGCAGAAATATAAAGGCTTCGGAGCATACCAGCTCAG